CTGGTTCTACTGCTACATTACTGGGGACAACTGGTTCTACTGCTACATTACTGGGGACAACTGGTTCTACTGCTACATTACTGGGGACAACTGGTTCTACTGCTACATTACTGGGGACAACTGGTTCTACTGCTACATTACTGGGGACAACTGGTTCTACTGCTACATTACTGGGGACAACTGGTTCTACTGCTACATTACTGGGGACAACTGGTTCTACTGCTACATTACTGGGGACAACTGGTTCTACTGCTACATTACTGGGGACAACTGGTTCTACTGCTACATTACTGGTGACAACTGGTTCTACTGCTACATTACTGGGGACAACTGGTTCTACTGCTACATTACTGGGGACAACTGGTTCTACTGCTAAATTACTGGGGACAACTGGTTCTACTGCTACATTACCGGGGACAACTGGTTCTACTGCTACATTACCGGGGACAACTGGTTCTACTGCTACATTACTGGGGACAACTGGTTCTACTGCTACATGACTAGTGACAACTGATTCTACTGCTACAGGACTAGTGACAACTGATTCTACTGCTACAGGACTAGTGACAACTGATTCTACTGCTACAGGACTAGTGACAACTGATTCTACTGCTACAGGACTAGTGACAACTGATTCTACTGCTACAGGACTAGTGACAACTGATTCTACTGCTACGACTTATTTTTCTATTTCCTTTAAAATATGACCCCATTTTATTTGAGATCTCTCTTTCTCTGAGCATTCAAACATTCAACCCTTTGCTGACTGGTCAACTTCTCAGCAATAGCATTGTCATAGTCTAACCTTATAACATTGTCGTAATCTCAGCATTTAACATTGACATAGTCTCACCACATAACACTGTCATAATCTCAGCAAATATTATTGCCATAGTCTTACGACATAACATTGCCATAGTAACACCACATAACATTTTCTTAGTCTCTCTACAAAACATTGCCATACTCTCAATATATATATATCAGTGTTATAATTTCACTATATAACATTGGTACAGTCTCAACATATACCATTGTTATAGTCTCACCATATACCATTAGTATTGTCTCACTTAAAACTTGCATAGAATCGCCACATAGCATTGTCGTAGTCTCAACACATAAAAGTATCATAGTGTCGAATCATAAAATTATCATAGTAATACTAAATATCATTTGCATAGTATCAGAACATGTCATTAGCTTCATAGTATCACCACATATCATCGTCATTATTTAACCATATATCATCGTCAGAGTTTCTCTCCAAATAATGTCATAGTCTCAACACGAGCTCTTAGTTACATTAAAGCATAGGAAGCATATATAAACTTCTGTAACAAAGTCTCACCTTATGTCATCGACATAATCTAACCTTTTATAATCTTTATAGTATCACCACATATCATTGCCATAATTCTGGTTCTGGTAATGTTTCGTTGCTGAATCCATGTACTGGCATTTTTGCAAGGGTTGCGGTATGATGTTGCTATTCTAATAGCTTCTAGCTGATGCCAGGGCAGCCTTGAAGCTTTCGACTGATGTCGAGTTCACAGTTGCATCGTTAAAGTTTTTTCATGCTATTATTGTTCGTGGAAAGAAAGATTGTTGATATTGCACTGTGTTGCACTGAGGCACTTTGAAGCATTTGCTATTGTTTCTGGTGTAATTGTTTATAAGAATGTCAGTGGTGAAATCAGTGTTCAGTGAGCGTTTTGCTCTGATCAGCCTACCCGGCTTCTGTGGTTTGAGGTATGTGCCTGCTGGGATGGCCGGCACCAGTCCCATGATCACTTAAATAAGAATGTCATATATCAACGTCACAGTCTCTCTATTTAGAATTAACATAGTCTCACCACGAGATGTTAGCAAAATTAAAACATTGGAAGCATATATTAACTTTTGTGAAAAATGTGATGTTTTAACACTGATACAGATTGTGTCAGTACGTCCAAAATCAAATATGCAGACTGTGTCAGTACGTCACAAATTCAGATATGCAGACTGTGCCATTACGACAAGAAGAAAAAATATGCAGTCTATGTTAGTACCTCCCTACTCAGATATGCAGACTGTGCCATTACGACAAGAAGAAAAAATATGCAGTCTATGTTAGTACCTCCCTACTCAGATATGCAGACTGTGTCTGTGCGTCAAAAAATCAAATATGCAGACTGCGTCAGTACGTCACAAAGTCAGATATGCAGACTGCGTCAGTACGTCACAAAGTCAGATATGCAGACTGTGTCTGTACCTCTCTACTCAGATATGCAGACTTTGTCAGTATGTCATAAAGTAAGATAGATTATTTTGGCACAGAATAACAATCTAAATTCAGTCTGATTTACGCCTATGGATGTCCTTGGCCTCTATCTTGTGGGTAAAAGTGCACAATCGAGAGATTAGTAAGTTCTCCATACGGTTAAAAGCATGCCAGTACTATGCATACTACTTGAAATATAACCCCTTTTTAACTGATCATTTTTCGATTGGCATTGTTTTTATAAGTCATCAAAGGTCACCTGTCAGATGTCAGCTGATGACGAAATCTCAGTGCGGTAAGAATACTGGTTCCCAGTTGAGGAGAATGACACGTGAAATCGGCAAACTATATTTAAAAAAAAAACGAATTTAATGTTTTGAAACGTATCTGTTTAATTGTGTTTTAATTGAAAGTGCATTCGACATCCCAGACTGGCAAAATTCTTTTTACTTTCATTGATATATTATAATCCCATGGTAGTGTTGTGGTCACCAGGAATCACTGAATATATGCACCAAGTCATTAAGAGCGTTTTGGACAATATATATATTTTTATAATCTGCCTTTTCAATTAATGAGCAACAGTTTGAGAATTATCGATGATTGCCTATTAAGAGAGCAACAGTTTGAGAATTGCCAATATTTGCTCATTCAGAGAGCAACAGTTTGAGAATTGCCAAGATTTGCTCATGCAGAGAGCAACAGTTTGAGAATTGCCGAGATTTGCTCATTCAGAGAGCAACAGTTTGAGAATTGCCGAGATTTGCTCATGCAGAGAGAGACAGTTTGTGAATTACTGAGATTTGCTTGGTAAATGACAAACGGTTTAAGAATGGTTGATAATTGGTTATTTCGACACAGTTTGAAAATTGCCGATAGTTGCTTATTCAGAGAGCAACAGTTTGAGAACAGACTAGACTTGCATAGTAAGTGACCTACAGTTTGAGAGTAGCCGAACCTCACTTAATATAAGAGATTTCAGCCACCTCAAATCTTGCTCTGCGTCTATGATAAATAGCTGCCCTACCTGTCTTCGCTATTAATATTCATACACAGCCGCGTCTGTCCCACGTGACACGGAACTGACGTGATCTGTCACGTCAAATTACTCCCAGTGGCCACGGCGCGGTGTCCTCCATGACAGTGATCACAAACTCAGCCACTTCAAATACAAGAAAACACCATGGGATCTCTCTCTCACTTGTTGATGAAATTTGGAAAAAACATGGATTATACAGTGTCAAAAATACTGTGTGTTTCTATTACTTAGATGAGACCGTGCTTCACTGTACGCTACAAGCCAGGGTCCGTATCCTGCATAGCTAAAGTATTACATACAATAGACCTGCAGTAATAAAGTGTTTATTTCCAGTGACCTGCTTTAATAAAGTGTTTATTTCGTGTGACCCGCATTTATATAAATTGTTTATTTCCAGTGACTTGCATTTATAAAGTGTTTATTACCATTTAACTGCATTAATAATGTGTTTGTTACCAGTGAACTATATTTATAAGGGGTTTATAGTCAGTGACCTGCAATAATAAAGTGTTCACTGTTAGAGACCTTTACCAAAGTGTTTTCATACTTCCGACATGTCTTGGTGTCTTCCTGTAGCTAAAAAGCATTTACTTAAAAATTGAGGTAAAATAAGCCACAGTGCAAAGAGATTATATGTATGTATATATATATATATATATATATATATATATATATATATATATATATATATATATATATATATATATATATATATATATATATATATATATATATATATATATATATATATATATATATATATATATATATATATATATATATATATATATATATATATATATATATATATATATATATATATATACAGGCATTAATATGTAGCTATATCTCTATTTATCAAGTAATTACGGGCTTCAGTAATTTCTGGCAACATTATTGTGTCTTCTCACTCATTATGTCAACTTCTTCTGACTCATTATGTCAACTTCTTCTGACTCATTATGTCAACTTCTTCTGACTCATTATGTCAACTTCTTCTGACTCATTATGTCAACTTCTTCTGACAGTCAACAATTCAAACAATGCTCATCACTTCAAAAATGTTGAGTTTCCTTAAGACCTAATCACTGTTTATTATAACTTCTACAGCTAATCTCACACTGATCTCGTACGTTTAAGCTTAAGCAGAGGAGTAACCATCTGCTACAATTGTAACAATCTGTTACGATCAAGCCTTATCCTTTTCAGTGTAACTGTGGTATTAATTTTTTTTGTGTTCAAAACTTTTTTACTCTTGGTATTAAAAAGAGTAACAAAATCAAGACATTTCTTGGACAGCTCGACACATTGCCTGCGAAATATCAACATACTTCTGGGGATCTCTTTTGTCGCTAAGGTTCCTGGGCCAAATCATTTCCATTGTGAAGAAACTCTTCAGCACAAAACAACAGTATCTCTAGCTATTCATCATACAGAAAAGATCCTTTAGTTGATGCTAGTGTTGTAAGTCTGGACTCAACTTTATCTGGAACCCAACATTAAGCCAAGGATCAAACCTACTGACTTTTTCAAAACAAAAACCGCCAGATAGTCTCAAGCTAAGTACCACACTTACTGACTGTCAAAACATGATAAAAGTCTGAAGTCAAGTACTGTACCTGCTGACATTGTCTAAAACCTTCAAAAAGTCTCAAGCCAAGTTCCACATCTACTGACTTTGTCAAAACACTTCAAAAAGTCTCAAGCCAAGTGCCACACATACTGACTTTGTCAAAAAACTTCAAAAAGTCTCAAGCCAAAAACCACATCTACTGACTTTGTCAAAACACTTCAAAAAGTCTCAAGCCAAGTGCCACACATACTGACTTTGTCAAAAAACTTCAAAAAGTCTCAAGCCAAGCACCACACCTACTGACTTTGTCAAAAAACTTCAAAAAGTCTCAAGCCAAGTACCACACCTACTGACTTTGTCAAAAAAACTTCAAAAAGTCTCAAGCCAAGCACGACGCCTACTGACATTTTCAAAGAACCTCACCAACTCTCAGCTTCATTCAGCATTTGGTAGAACCTCAATTCGTCACGTCGGCTTCAAGTAACCCGTCCAACATTCAAATTGTATGCGTGATGAGCCACATGATGTTGTTAAAGAGTGTTTTGTATATTTCAACGCTTGCTGGATGTGTTTATGGCCAGGCTAACGCAGACGTCCTTCCACTTGGTGAGTTACCTATATTTATTCAGAAAAAACAAGTAATCTTTTATTTGTTGCATTAAAACGCAGTAAGGTATAGCTTTATGGATTTAAACCAATGCAATCTTTCATTTGTTGGATTAAGTAGAAACTGTAACATTTTAAAAATATTTTTGATATGTCAAGGAGCTTAACGTTGAGGAGGGGGTGCACGGTGGTACACGGTGGTATAACTGGTTGCCTTGTCACAACACTGTCGTTTAGTAAGGGTTGTGAGTTGATAAATTGTGTTTGATTTGGATAGAACGTCACAGAACGATGACCACATAACATTTTAGGATTTTAGGACCCCTCGAAATGGCTTTTTTCAAATATTAAAGTGTTGTAAGATGGGAATAGATTTGGAACATTGGCTCAGAATATAAAAATCCATTTGAAATTTACATTATCATGTAGAATTCCTATTCTAATAGTTGAAAGTAGACCTAGATTCGATTTAATGCCTAGGAAGAGATTACCTCATATTAGCAATAGAAAACTTGACCAATTACGTAACTTGACCTATTAGATGACTTGATCAATTAGATGACTTGAACAATTAGATGACTTGAACAATTAGATTACTTGATCAATTAGATGACTTGAACAATTAGATGACTTGAACAATTAGATGACTTGAACAATTAGATGGCTTTATCAAGTAGATCACTTGACCAATTAGTTTGCTTTATCAAGTAGATGACTTGACCAATTAGATGATTTGACCTATTAGATGACGTGACCAGTTAGATGACTTGACCCATCAGTAGACTTGACCAATTTGATGTTTGACACTCAGAGTTCAATATCGATGTCGTTCATCCAGGTGTTTGTGACCAGCCCTGGGTGCCGACCTTTAGTCATGACTACAAGGGGACCACTGTACATGGTTCAGTGGCTGCACTCCAGAACCACATTCTTAAAGGGTTTCTGGTCAGGGTTCAGTTCTCCACAAAAGAGTGGCTCATAGCTTTTGATCTGGATGACTTTACATTCAGAGGCAGGTCAGTCATTTTATTTTTGATGTGTTGATTAGGGCCACCATTTTATTTTATGTTTTGACCAGATCAATCGTTTCTGTTTGATGTTTTTACCAGGTCACCCATTTTGTTTGTTGCTTTGATCAGGAAAGAAATTGTGTTTCATTTTTTGACCAGGTCCACCATTTTGTTTGGTATTTTGACCAGGTCAGATATTAAGTTTATGTTTCGACCAGGTCCGTCCACAATTTTTTTCTTGCTGTGACCAGGTCCACTATTGTGTTTGATGCTATGACGAGGAAAATTATTGTTTATATGTCGTTAAGAGTCAAGTATTTATTTCACGTCTTTGGTCAGTGTAAGGTTCTGGAGAAACACAACAATACCTTTATTTGATTAGAGTTTAACATGTGACTTTAATTTTCTAACTACAATAGTATAAATATATTATGATATATTGGTCTAATTATATGATATATTCTAATTGTATGATATATGGGTCTGATGAAATGATAGGTTGGTCTAATTATAATGTTCAATACTCTTTTGGCTGAGATTACTCTCCTGTTGCCCTGGCTATTTAAGTGTCGACTTGCCTCATCTGTTGGGCGTCACCATAAATCATTGCTACAAGGCAGGTCTCTGGTATCTCGACCATCGACCCCCTTCCCGCCTTTGGGACAGTCGACAACCACGTGAGCCACTGTCTCGGGTGCCTGGCCGCAAAATCGGCAGGTTGGTTCCCTTCTGTCATGGAGGTAGCTGCGCATCGCGAAATGACCTGTTATGATCTGGATGATGAAGCTCTGGTCTCCCACATTTATGTTCCAGCAGGGGTCACTCTTGCCCGGTCAGGGCAATCTCCAGTGCAGCTGTAATACCATTTCTCCTGCGGCCCAATAGCTTAACAACTTGTCACGAAAGTAGTCTTTCAACCAAACTGTGACTCCCGGCTGAGTCATTGGTTTATCGGGCTGTGGCTGGGCCGCGCCTTCTTTGGCTAATAGCTCCACCCTGTCGTGTTGAGTCACCTCAAAGTGCGAAGCGATGAACTGTAAGGTTAATTTTGCACCTTTGGCATGGGTGCTTCAAACTGTCTCTAGAATGACATTCACAAACGTGGTCTCCGTAGAGCCCCGTCCCACTTGCTCGAGAGCAGAAAGTGAGTCGGTGAAGACCATAACGTCCGGGAACTTTTTTCCGTTTTGCTTAGCTTTGATATACTTTCTTGAGGGCAACCAGTACTGCTTCTATCTCCGCATCGAGGCTCGTTATATTTTTTCCTACTGCGTCCGGATAGCGCCTTGGGTGGAGATATCACTTTCGGATACTTGATAAGAGCCCCATAGCAGCTGCGTCCTGTCAATCGGAACCAAGAGCCCTCTGTGAATACTTTAACCAGGCTGTCAGGGTAGGTTTTAATTGTTTCTTGTGTAACCTCTGATAGTTCTGGTGGCTTTATTAGTCGTCATGGCGAGACCTATTTCAGGCTGGGTAAGGATTTCGTGGGGGCCCGTCCCGGAATCACCCTTACTTGGTCCCTCCTTATGGGTAATTACAAATCTTCCTCAAGACTGGGGACCGTGTCCAGGAACAATGGTCTCTTAAATCTGGTCTTCTTAACCCATGGATTCTGTAGCTGGAAGTAAGGTTCCTGTATGTCCATTCGTTGGTATCGCTCTACCGTTGTTAGGACTACCTTTTTCCGTCTGGTTTCGAGTGGTTAGATGTTCGCCAGGACTTATACCACTGCTGTCGATGTCGTGCGTAAGAGCTCGGTTTTAGATGCGGTCAAGTCACGCTAGAGCCGTTTGGCTCACAAAGGTCTGGGAGGGTAGGCTGTAGTCCATTGCCCCTCTTACGCTACCGACGAAAAGGGACCTCAATAGTCTTGCATCAGTACCCCAGTCAGAGCAAGCAAGCTTCTTCTCCAAGACCAATTTTTGTGACGTTTTCGCGCATAGTTCGTGTATGTGATTATGGAGCTGGAGCTTTTGATCCAACTTCCCACCCAAATACACTGGAGCCCGATCGCAACGAAATTCCTTTCCATTGATGGTCTGTTTCATGTTTACCTTCATTGCCTTCCTTCCATCCTCCACCTTCTGTTGTTTTTTTTTAATTTTTTTGTTGTTTTTTTTGTTGCCAGAATGTCTTTTTGTTATGGACTTATACTAAACCTTGTGCCCACACTTGAACCCTCATTTGTGTCTCCTCTTGACCCACATCTGAACCCACCCAGAGCTCTACATTGGCTGTAACGCCAAAATTTGGATGGATGCATATATTTAATATGTAAAACTTCGCTTAGGTTGATCAAAGTTTTACTTTTTTGTGATGATGCCATTTCGTGTTGTAGGAATGAATTCATTTTGCCGAAAAGACCTTTAATTGTATTTTGTCATTTAATTAAAGCTTAAAATACAATTTTTCGACACAAATTGCGTCAGACTGATGCCATTAAAAAAGCAATGACACACCAGTTGGCTGTCCATTCATCCAATCATTTCATCAACTGTCTATTTCCAGACATCTTTGTGGTAGTTTCCATTCGATTCTTTCTGACAATGGCACACACATAGACACAGATGCCGACTGGATGCCAACTTTAGTGTGTACCAATGGAGAGGTAAGCTGTATCAATGGAATGCCTAGTATTACCCTTTAATATGTACCAATGAAAGTGTAAGTTGTATCAATGGAATACCTAATATTACCATATAATCTGTACTAATGAAGTGTTAAGTTATATCAAAGTAAAGTCTGGTATTACCTATTAATTTGTTCTAATGAAGTAGTAAATTATATCAATGTAATACCCAGTATTACCCTTCAATGTTTACCTTTGGAGAGGTAATGTGTGTCAATGGAAAGACTATTATTACTTGTTAATCTAATGGAGAGGGTTTTTAAAAAAAATAAATTACCAACAACTTGCAAATATTACCCTTCAAAGAGGAGTCATCAACGAATGACAGGAAATGAATTCCCCTTCTGTTCTTTTTATTTATGGTACAATTTTCTTTTACAAATCTTCACATCTTTTTTTGTGTGTGAATAAAGCGAATATTTTGTAAAACTTTAGGTGAGTCGTCTGAACTACACCTCAGCCAACTGGTACAGCGATGTGGGGACGTTAGACATGGAGCTGGATGGTGAAGTTTGGTGGTACACGAAGCCCACACATTGTAATGATAATGATGAGCCACTGTACTCGCAGTTTGTGGATGGGTCTACGGCATCGGGGTCATTAACTAAGGTAGGCAAAAAGGGTCTTTAACTATGAAAGGAAATAAGAATCTTTAACTATGGTAGGCAATCAGGGTCCTTAATCATGGTTGGATATACGGCTCTTTACCCATGGTAGGCAATAAGACTCTTTAACTGTAGTAGGCAATAACGTCTCATTGGAGATGGCGTCGGCTGGTCGTCGAGCGCGAGCTGTTAATACCCCCCCCCGCCCCCCCCCCCCCACGGGCCGACGCAGGTGCTCCCCGTCACCAGACTGTGCGGAAGCTCGCCGTAAACCTGCCCCCCCCCCCACCTGGCCTTGGGACGTCCGTTCGACTGAAGACACTCAGTTTAAAGCGTTCGCGGTCCAATTTCCTTGGGTCTGAACGGCTTTGCTTCCTCTCCGGGGGAAAGAAATTGCGTTACCTCCTCCCACCTCCCAGGGAGTAGTTCGGTCGGGATGTAGCGGGGACGAAACGGTCGCCTAGGAGCGGCTTTCTCAGGGCCGCGTAGCTTAAAACAACGGAAAGGGTTTTGACCGCCACTCAGGCCAGATATCCATTAACGGCAACAAGTAATCATGTTATTGCGTTTCTTCCGTTGCGTTGGAAGTCATGCAAGAGGCGGGTTTTTTTTAGCTTCGGGAGGGAACCTTCCTACCAGTCTGCCACGCGACGAAGAGGCAAAACCCCGTGTGCCTACCCCGTATTGGGCAATAAATGCCTTTAACTTGAGGTTAGCTATTTGCGTTATTCTAGCCTTGCATAAATTATAATGACTATTTGATCACAGGCTGGCACCTTTAAAGAAATAAAGGACTGAAAAAAATCGTCTCTTTTTAAATAATGCAAAAAAAAAAATATATATTCACTTTGTCTAAATCTCATTATCAGTCTGTCAAGTGTCATTTCCAGTATGCCAATGTCACTTTCAGTTAGTCATCTTTTTGAGTATAGTCTAATGACTAAATTAAGGAAATGTAATGTTTTCTGTGGCTTACATTAAATCTAAGTAGTCATGAATGCCCATAGACACCAGTACGTTTAAAGAAGATCTGATTATTTGAATAATCAGATTTGTTGAATAATCAGATTTGTTGAATAATCAGATTTGTTGAAAGATGAGATTTGTTGAATGAATGTCAAATACTATTTTGTTTGATCAGTTAATGAGGTACGCCAAGTGGTCAGAGCTCCGCGCCAGCATGAGAGACAGAGGTTACGCCTTCGTTCTACAGAACCAAAAAGTCTTTAATGACGAACTTATTACAGCACAGAGCTTGAACCATTACAGTTTGAGAACCACTCAAAATTCAGTAAAGGTAAGACAGAAACATTCGTAAATGGTATTTTTTAAGTGAAGAAAAAATGTTTTTATTGATATTTTATTGATGTTTAAAGCTGTAATCTTTTGCCAATCAACATATGTCTACGTCTACAATGTAATCAACAGAAATGAAAATCTGTAGACTTTCGTCAAACTAGATCAACATATATCTATCTGAAGTCATTGAAAAACTAGTTCTAAAACAACTTTTGCTTACTTAAAAGACCACTCTCTTCTCAATCCTAATCACTCGGGCTATAGACCTTTCCATAGCACTGAGACAGCTCTCTTGAGAGTTTCTAATAAACTCTTGCTCGCATTGGACAGCGGGGATCTCACCATCCTGATCTTAGGCCTTACTGCGGCCTTTGACACTGTTGACCATTAAGCCATTTACAAAACCCTTGAAAATGGCTTTGGGATTTCGGGTTTTAGATTGTTTTAGGTATTAACTCTCCGATAAAAGGCAGGCGGTCTCTGTCGATGGCTGTCTCGCCGGCAATGCTGACTTGGTGTATGGTGTGCCACGGACATCCGTTTTTTGGGCCGGGTCTATTCACAATGATTACCAGGCCACTGCCCCTCTTGCTCGGGAGGCATGCTGTGGAGAGCCATTCGTGCGCAGATGACACGCAGCTATACAAGCATACCATCCCTCTCTTGTCGATTATGCTGTCTGGGCTTTTTCGGGAGAGCATTGATAATGTCAAGACATGGATGATACTCAGCAAGTTGAAGCTTAACGATGACAAAACGGAAGCACTCCTTATTCAGGATCACACATCATTCTCTAACTCAGCTCTCCCCACTACATTTCATGTAGGTAACTCCGATATACCGTTTACATTCTCCGCTAGGAATCTTGGTGATATTCCGATACACAACATGTCTCTCGATAATCATACCTTTCACATTTGTTCTTCTTCTTCTATATTTTAAGGGCCCACGATCAATTTATTGATCATTTTGGCTCCTGTGCATGTAGATGGGATTTGCAATGTTTCTGTTACGGGTGTTGATGAGGAAATCATGCACTAGGGGTTTGAATGACTGAGGCAATGGACACAAATGTGTCTAGTGTTGTCGTCTCAACCGTTCCTTTTGAAAGATTGTTCCAGTCCCTGATTGTCTTGGGCAGGAATGAGCAGATCGTATACTAGCTTCTTGCTGGTATGAGCCTGAATTGCCTGTCATGACCTCGTCGCTGTCTATGGGGGAGAAGGACGAGTTTCTGTTTAATATTGGAACAGTGGACCAGCCCATTATTTATCTCGTACATCATGGAGAGCCTGGATTGTCGTTGTCGTTCCTCCAATGGTGACCAGCCTAGTGCTTCCAGCATGCTGCCAACACTAGAGGTATTCCTGTAGCGGTTCAGGACACTGCTATTCGTCAGATCAGCTCCATCCGCCAATACCTCACAGTTAGTGCAACAAAAACCCTAGTCTATGCTCTAGTTCTCTCTTGTCTTGACTATTAAAACTCTCTTCTGTCAGGTTCACCAAAGCACTGCATTGAAAAAGTACAAAAGATTCAAAACTCAGCCACTAGACTAATTCTAAAGGCAAGACAACGTGATCACGTCACACCACAACTTCATTCACTTCATTGGCTCCCTGTACAAGCACGGATTGACTACAAGCTGTCTGTTCTCTGCCACAATTTCTTATCGAATTTTTCCCCTTTCTATCTAACCGAACTTCTCTCTGTCTATTCACCCCTTCGACAGCTTCGCTCCTCCGCAGACGCGCATATTCTTTCTGTCCCCAAGACTCGCACAAAAACATACGGTGAACGATCGTTCTCTTTCTCTTTCCCCCATACAATGGAATTCTCTTCCACTACATACTGCTGGATAGCCTTCCATGGCTTGACATGTAAATAGTTCTGGAATGTGTGGAGTGAATACACATTTGTTTTGTTTGATTTAAATAATATATGTTAATTTTTAAGTTCATGATTATATTTGTTAAATTATGTATGTACAGCGTGGTGAGCCCAGCCATAGGTTGGGATACCGCGCTATATAAAATCGCCACTAATAATAAAAAAAAAAATAATTATAATATATAAAGCTGTAGTCTTTGACTATGTAAATCAACAGACATCTAAATGTATAGTCTTTTGCCAATATAGATCAAGGGATATCTAAGGCTGTAACATTTCACCAATATAGATGAAGAGATATTTAAAGCGTTTGTCTCTGGCCAATGTAGATTAACAGATATCGAAAGCTACAGTCTTTCGCCAATGTAAATAAATAGATATCGAAAGATGCAGTCTTTGGGCAATGTAAATAAATAGACATCTAAAGCTCTAGTCTCTGGCTAATGTAGATCAACATATAGTTTAATGCTTTTCTCTCTGGACAATGCAGATCAACAGATAGTTAATGCTTTTCTCTCTGGCTAATGTAGATCAACAGATAGTTAAAGCTTTTCTCTCTGGCCAATGTAGATCAACAGATAGTTAATGCTTTTCTCTCTGGCTAATGCAGATCAACAGATAGTTAATGCTTTTCTCTCTGGCCAATGTAGATCAACAGATAGTTATCGCTTTTCTCTGTGGCCAATGTAGATCAACAGATAAATACGCTTTACTCTCTGGCCAGTGTAGATCAACAGATAGTTAATGCTTTACTCTCTGGCAAATGTAGATCAACAGATAGTTAACGCTTTTCTCTATGGCCAGTGTAGATCAACAGATATTTTGAAACAAAATTGTTTCCATTTCAGTACAACGAAGATCCTTACTACTCGTGGCTCGCCGTCTGGTCAACCAATGGCCGGAGGGACGTGTCCAGGTGGTACCTAAGTAACACGACCATGTACAAACACAACAACGACTTCGTCTCCTTGGACTGGTACGGCGACGAGTGCTGGAGGCGAGTGTACTCCACCGACAAGTACGGCTTTGCGTCCTACGGGACTCTAGACGAGCTCATGTATATGATTAAACAAGGTCACAGGGTGAGTCCACTTTGCTGTACTATGGGGGTTGTAGGACTCACGCTAATTGAGGCCATATATGTCTGCAAGTATCTTTGGCTATGTGGTCACGTGTATAACATGCTCATCACGTCAAATATTTTTTTATATCGCCTGATAGGTCCGCATCTATTTTGACGGTTTCAACCTGAAGGCCAACAGCGTCCGTGTCCTGAAGGGCCTGGTAGTGGCTCAGACTATTGAAGAGTTCGGCAGACGTGGGAACTACCCGAACTTTGACGCTCCGTTCTTCAACACCAAGGCCAGGGCCGTCTACAGGCTAATCCACTCCACGGGCCTGGTAGGTTAATATTACAATAGTCTACAGTAATCTACAGGCTCATCCACTCCACTGGCCTGGTAGGTTAATATTACAATAGTCTACAGTAATCTACAGTCTAATCCACTCGAGGGGGACTGTAAGATAAAATTACAATAATCTAGAGTCTTATCCGCTCGACGGTGCTGCAAGTTAACATAACAATAGTCTGAAATAGCCTACAGGCGGATCCACTGTACCGGACTGGTAAGATAACGTTATAATAGTCTTCAGACTTATCCATTCTAATGGGCTAGTAAGCACACTATTCTTATCAGCATATCTTTAAAAATCAATAGCACACCTATAATAATCTCAGCACCTTAACATAAGAATTATAGCGCCATTATAGTATTATTGTTAAAATAGTAATACAATCACCACTAGTACCACTGAAGTATACCCTTCATTACACTGAAATATTGCTATTAGCATTACCCCAAAAGTATGACTACAATTACCCCAACTGTTTTACCACTATTACCTCAATGAAATTATCACATTACCATGACCGTATTACCTTTGATATTCTAGGTGAAGACTTACATGTACAACATTGACAACTTCGCTCTTGCTGATAAGAAAGTAGACACATTTCCTATTGACTGGCTTGTAGACACAAGACAGTGGAAGAAGGTAAGTAGACACATTTGCCATTGACGGGATTGTAGACACAAGACTGTGGAAGAAGGCAAGTAGACACATTTGCCTCTGACTTGCCTGTAGACACAAGACAGTGGAAGAAGGCAAGTAGACACATTTGCCTCTGACTGGCTTGTAGACACAAGACTATGGAAGAAGTAAAGTAGACACATTTGCCTCTGACTGGCTTGTAGACACAAGACTATGGAAGAAGTAAAGTAGACACGTTTGCCATTGACTGGCTTGTAGACACAAGACTATGGAAGAAGTAAAGTAGACACATTTGCCTCTGACTGGCTTGTAGACACAAGACTATGGAAGAAGTAAAGTAGACACATTTGCCTCTGACTGGCTTGTAGACACAAGACTATGGAAGAAGTAAAGTAGACACGTTTGCCATTGACTGGCTTGTAGACACAAGACTATGGAAGAAGTAAAGTAGACACATTTGCCATTGACTGGCTTGTAGACACAAGACTATGGAAGAAGTAAAGTAGACACGTTTGCCATTGACTGGCTTGTAGACACAAGACTATGGAAGAAGTAAAGTAGACACGTTTGCCATTGACTGGCTTGTAGACACACGACTATGGAAGAAGTAAAGTAGACACATTTGCCATAAACTGGCTTGTAGACACAAGACTATGGAAGAAGTAAAGTAGACACGTTTGCCATTGACTGGCTTGTAGACACAAGACTATGGAAGAAGTAAAGTAGATACGTTTGCCATTGACTGGCTTGTAGACACAAGACTATGGAAGAAGTAAAGTAGACACATTTGCCATTGACTGGCTTGTAGACACAAGACTATGGAAGAAGTAAAGTAGACACATTTGCCATTGACTGGCTTGTAGACACAAGACTATGGAAGAAGTAAAGTAGACACGTTTGCCATTGACTGGCTTGTAGACACAAGACTATGGAAGAAGTAAAGTAGACACGTTTGCCATTGACTGGCTTGTAGACACAAGACTATGGAAGAAGTAAAGTAGACACATTTGCCATTGACTGGCTTGTAGACACAAGACTATGGAAGAAGTAAAGTAGACACGTTTGCCATTGACTGGCTTGTAGACACAAGACTATGGAAGAAGTAAAGTAGACACGTTTTCCATTGACTGGCTTGTAGACACAAGACTATGGAAAGAAGGTAACTAAATTTATGCGGCCCCGGAGCCAGAGCGATCGACCTCGGCATTCGAGTCCAATTCCAAAGACATTTCAGAGTGTGAACATGTCTGGGTCTTGAAATTATTCCGGAGCATCCATGCATGCCAACCTGGACGGTGTATCATTACTTTAAAAAGGTTTGATATCCTTGCCAAGATGTACGGCCTCGCTTAAATCAGGACCGTATTCATTGGATTTGTAAAAAAAAAAAATATTGCATAAGACGCGCGTTCAAACAGGGCGGTGCAATAAAATCTCATTGGTCAGCTATATTTAGAATCTGAGCGTGGTTTCATGGCTATCATTTGTTAGTGCTAAGTCTTATACAGCGCAATGCGCTAGTAACTACTTTGAGCAGTGAACCATAAATACACATTTTAATCTGTTTGTGTTCAATACAGAAACTGCAATGTGAGTCAGTGCCCATTTAATTTCTATTAAATCATTACGTCTATTCTAATGTAATAATCAATAAATAACAATTTATTAATACGTCATGGCGCAGTGGAACGCGTGGCTGCCTTCAATAAGTAAAGCACTGAATGTGGCGTCATCTTCTTCATGCTTGCCGCAATGAAGAAGTGTCATCTTCTTGGTTGTACAAGCTGCAAGTAGCTTTTAGCTGAAATCAGTGGGAATTGTAGGCTATATTGTTATATTCTTTTTGCTTTTATTATTTTAATCAAGCTAGAAACTTCCAAATTACATTCTATATACACATTAACATTTTCTATCGACATAAACAGCTTATATCAACCTAAATCTTTATATCCACAGTAATACTTTATATCCACATAATCACTTGATATCCCCATAAATATTTTACACCCACTCTGTTATTTTACTCCAATAGAAACTTCAGACTAACATTCTATATCCACATAAACACTTTAAAGCCACATAAGCACTTTATCTCCATATAAGCACTTTATCTCCACATAAACACTTTATATCCACATAAGCACTTTATATCCACATACACATTTTATATCCAGATAAACACGCTATATCCACAGTAACACTTCATATACACACAAACACTTTATATCTACATAGCGCTTAGAGTACGAAAATACTTATATCCTCAATGACATTGACCTCTATACGGTGAAAACTGATTTGATAAAGTTGACGGTGAAGTGAATTCAATAAATGAAGTGACAAAATTTTACTTGGTTATTTTTTTAAATACATGAATCTGTACCACAGCTAGCATTATCACCTAATTAATTATGTCTAATGACATCTAAATTCTTATCAAATTCATTTTTTAAGTACATTAAAATATTACTATTTACCAGTTTAAAAATAAATAAAGTTTGGTGAAAATCAAATCTAAAAAAAGTTCACATTTAGGAAAGATGTAAACATGCTAAAAATGTGCGCGCGGGGAAGGGGAGATGATTCCGATTTTACTAATGCAAACTATACATTACATACAATTATGAAAAAGCATTAAATTATACATTTGAAAACTTTTAATTTTTTCTTGTACATTTTTTGATGCTATTGTACAGTTTTAGAATACTGTAATATTTTAAAAGTTATGAACTCAAAACTGTTTTCTGTGAAACCACAAACCTTTATTCTGCACTCTCCATTCTTTTATAACACACATCACATGACCACTCACTCTATTTATCCAACTAATTTTGAAATCACAAGACCACTCACTCCAATTATCAAACCAATTATGAAGTCACATGACCACTCGCTCCAATTATCCAACAAATATTCAAATCACATGACCACTCACTATATTTATCCAACCAATATTCACATCATTTGACCACTCACTCCAATTATCCAACCAATATTCACATCAGATGACCACTCACTCCAGTTATCCAACCAATATTCAAATCACATGACCACTCACTCCAATTATCCAACCAATATTCACATCACATGACCACTCACTCCAGTTATCCAACCAATGTTCATAGTTAAGCCAATCACTTTGACAACAAAATAGGACGGTCAGGTGACATAGTGCAGTCAATCACCATGACAACACAGGGCATTCAGATTAAAAAGTTCAGCCAATGCACACGACAACATTAATTGTCAGTCACTCATACTGTCACAGACTATGTGTATGGTACATTTTTTGAGACTGTTAGTATGGAACAGTTTTAGGGACTACATATTTTTGGGGATTAATTGTAAGGAACAGTTTTTTCTGACTGTATTTATGGTACAAAGTTTTGGACACATTTTTACGGTACTTTTTCTTAGGACTATTTGTTCGATACACTTTGTAAAAATATTTATACAGTATATTTTGGGACTATTTGTACCGGTACGTTACAGATTTCTTGAACACTCCGATTGGCATGTATGAAGATAAGTAGTGTCAAAATTGTTTAACTTTAACATGTGTTCATTTGTGATGCTCAACTTTCTATTATATCGGCTTTAGTAATAACTTAATCTTTAAACATGCTCAGATATCTATGAAAATTGCATTTAAACATTTTTCAGATATTTAGGAAAAAAAAACCTATATAATTCTGTTTTGTTGAACGGTCCTATAAACACTGCGAGACGGTGTTGTAGTCTTGCATGGTCCTATAAACACAGCTAGACGGTGTTGTAGTCTTGCACGATCCTATAAACTCTGCAAGATGGTGTTGTAGTCTTGCACGGTCCTATAAACACTGCAATATGGTGTTGTAGTCTTAACGATCCTATAAACACTGCAAGATGGTGTTGTAGTCTTTTACGATCCTATAAACTGTGCAAGATGGTGTTGTAGTCTTTTACGATCCTATAAACTGTGCAAGATGGTGTTGTAGTCTTTTACGATCCTATAAACTGTGCTACATGGTGTTGTAGTCTTTTACGATCCTATAAACTGTGCAAGATGGTTTTGTAGTCTTGCACGATCCTATAAACTGTGCAAGATGTTGTTGTAGTCTTGCACGATCCTATAAACTGTGCAAGATGGTGTTGTAGTCTTGCACGATCCTATAAACTGTGCAAGATGTTGTTGTAGTCTTGCACGATCCTATAAACTGTGCAAGATGGTGTTGTAGTCTTTCACGATCCTATAAACTGTGCAAGATGTTGTTGTAGTCTTGCACGATCCTATAAACTGTGCAAGATGGTGTTGTAGTCTTGCACGATCCTATAAACTCTGCAAGATGGTGTTGTAGTCTTGCACGATCCTATAAACTGTGCAAGATGGTGTTGTAGTCTTGCACGATCCTATAAACTCTGCAAGATGGTGTTGTAGTCTTGCACGATCCTATACACTGTGCAAGATGGTGTTGTAGTCTTGCACGATCCCATAAAAACTGCTAAATCTGTTGAGGTAACTTTATGCATGCGTACATTTTAATACATCCGTTACGCAAGTAAGAGATTAACTCGCCCCCCCCCCTCTAAGAGATTAACTCGACCGTGTATTCCCAATCTCCCCCCCCCTCCCTCGAACAGGTCCTCAGGACAGACGCGTTTGGAGGGATTACCTATGGGACTACCCGTGACCTTGAAGATGCCGTGACCTTGTCAGCCAGTGTGCGACTAAACATAGAACAGGATGAGCTTGCCGGACAATTCTTTACAGAGGCGGATAATGTCCGGATAAATTTTTTCACAACGGAGGTAAACAATGTTTCTTCTATTCTGGATAACTTATTGCTGAATTTTGAACAGTGTATAGTTAAGACTCACTTTTGAAATTTAAACAGTGAATAGTTTAGACTTATTGTTGAATTTGATCAGTGTATTGTTTAGACTTATTGTAGAATTTTGAACAGTGAATAGTGCAGACGTAGTATATACTTTAGAATTATTTTTGAATTTTGAACAGAGTATAGTTTAGAATTATTGTTGAATTTTAACACAGTATAGTTTAGACTTATTGTTGAATTTTGAGCAGTGTATAGTTTAGACTTATTGTTGAAATAGAACAGTGTTTTGTTAAAACTTATTGTCGAATTTTGAATAGTGTATAGTTTAGAATTATTTTTGAATTTGAACACTGTATAGTTTAAACTTATTGTCGAATTTTGAACAGTCTATAGTTTAAACTTATTGTCGAATTTTGAACAGTGTATAGTTTAGACTTATTGTTGAAATAGAACAGTCTATAGTTTAGAGTTAATGTTGACATCTTAAAAGTGCACGTAGTTTAGACTTACTGTTGAAGTCTTCAGCAGCGCTGTGAAGAGATTTAACGCCGTCAGTTTAATGAATGGCAATTGTCGGTGTACTGTCAAAAACTCAGTCCAGTTATGTGTGAACAGAAATTAAAGAGTCATTGGCTTCTGTTTGGTCAACATTTTCTGAGCACAATGCGACGCCCTTAATGTCATTAATGTCCTAATGTCCATTGTGTCCTGAATTGTCTCCTATTTACTGTGCAGATTTACGCACAAGCCCTCAAACACGTGAGCGACCAGAAGGTGCAGACCGTGGACGAGTACATCCTGCAGAATGACCCCTTCCGCTGGTGCCTGATGGTCAGCTCCAGCGGCGTGGTGGCCATGAACGCCAGGCGACTGTCATCCAGGGCACATTTGTACGACGCGGTTTCCCCGGCAACGAACGTTACGTGGTTTGTGAACGTGTAAAAATTTATAGTAATTTATTCTGTATGTAAATTTGGAGGAAGAGTCGAGCTACGTGTCACTCAGCTGGCGTGTGTACCAAGTCGTTGAGAGATTTAAAGAAACAGGAATTTTGATGCAAAATAAATAAATAAAGGAAATTGTCAATATTGGAAACCCAGTGATATTCTGGAATGTTTCGATGGGCTTTTACACTAATGCTATTAACAAGCATTTTATTATCTTTTTATAAATTAATGGACTTCTCCAAGTAAAGAGAATGCTAATGGACAATAAATATTGCGAAATTTTTAGTGATCGCTGTATGCTTATTAAAAATTAAATTTAGAAATGAATTAAAAAAAAAAAATAATTGTAGCATAATTTTGCACAGAGTAGAATTTATTTCACTTATAACAAGCCATGGAAGTGTCAATGCTCTTATTACAGTTTGAGACCCTTTGAGGCATATGCCCTTAAAATAGTCCCTATAGTTACTACTGAATAAAATGGCATTTCAACTGAACAATTTCTATGTAAATGTGAAAGGAAGGTTCGGGTAAGCGAATACAGAAAGACAATTTTCATGAAATTCAAACAAAAGATTGGAGAATGGGTTGACCAGCAGTGGGCTATAGCATGGGTTGACCAGCAGTGGGCTAGAGCATGGGTTGACCAGCAGTGGGCTAGAGCTTGGTTTGACCAGTCCTCGGTTGGATATGAGCATGGGTTGACCATCCTTGTGATAGAGCACGGGTTCACCATCCCTGGATTAGAGCATAGGTCAGCAAAGAGAAGGTAAAATAGTTCACATTTTAGCCACTAGGGGCTGATAGGCCAGTTAACTAGAGGCGAGGTCAATCCTTCATTTTACTGGCGTCTATAGTGAGGGGCTATTGGGGACTTTTTCCTCCCAATAACCTAGACAAATGAGTCACGTACCTAGTCTAAAACATAGCCTCAAAGTTGTATATGATGAACCAGGGAGGGGCAGGATTTGCACCACGGGCCGTTGCTTGACCACTCAGTTAGAGGGTCAACAACTAGCATTCCTACAATGTGCCATTTTGGAAAGTTTTGACAACGTGTAGCTATGAAGTGTGTACATGGAGCCGTACAGACTTTTTACAGGGATGTGTGCATTTATTGACAGGTTGGTGTCGTAGGAGTAATGGGTTACTTTGGGCTGGGGATAGGGGTGGGTATTGGGTTACTTTGGGCTGGGGATAGGGGTGGGTATTGGATAACTTTGGGGGTTGGCGTTGTGGTGGGTAATGTGTCACTTTGAGGTGAGGATAGTGGCCGGTAATGGGTTACTTTGGGGTGGGGATAGTAGCAGGTAATTGGTCACTTTGGGGTGGGGATAGTGGTAGGTAATGGGTCACTTTGAGATGAGGATAGTGGCAGGTAATGGGTCACTTTTGGGTGGGGATAGTGGCATTTAATATGTCACTTTTGGAAGGGGATAGTGATAGGTAATATGTCACTTTGAGGTGAGGATAGTGGCAGGTAATAGGTCACTTTGAGATGAGGATAGTGGCAAGTAATGGGTCACTTTGAGATGAGGATAGGGGCAGGTAATGGGTCACTTTGAGATGAGGATAGTGGCACGTAATGAGTCACTTTGAGGTGAGAATAGTGGCAGGTAATGGGTCACTTTGAGATGAGGATATTGGCAGGTAATGGGTCACTTTGAGGTGAGGATAGTGGTAGGTAATGGGTCACTTTTGGGTGGGGATATTGGCAGGTAATGGGTCACTTTGAGATGGGGATAGTGGCAGGTAATGGGTCACTTTGAGGTGAGGATAGTGGCAGGTAATGGGTCACTTTGAGATGAGGATAGTGGCAGGTAATGGGTCACTTTGAGGTGGGGATAGTGGCAGGTAATGGGTCACTTTGAGATGAGGATAGCTGTAGGTAATGGGTCACTTTGGGGTGGGGATAGTGGCAGGTAATGTTTCACTTTGAGATGAGGATAATGGCAGGTAATGGGTCACTTTGAGGTGAGAATAGTGGTAGGTAATGGGTTACTTTGGGGTGGGGATAGTGGTAGGTAATGGGTTTCTTTGAGGTGAGGATAGTGGCAGGTAATGGGTTACTTTGGGGTGGGGGTAGTGGCAGGTAATGGGTTACTTTGGGATGGTGGTTCGGGCAGTGAATTGGGTTTGGGTTGGTGGTCAGGTTAGTCTGACATTGATTTGAACTTTTGTAAAAAGAACCTGTTTTTATTATTTTTTGTTTGTTTTGTTAAATCACCAGGAAATATAACTGTACAAAAATCAAGAGTTACAAATTTGAACAAACATCATTGTTTGTGTAACAAATTTCAATTTGCTTGATAAATTATTTTTTATGTTTTCAGTGTGTCTGTTGAGAAATGAGTTTGCATTTAATAGAATTAAAAATTTGTTCGGATAATAAATAGTTGACTTTTCCCTTGTTTTCAGTCATATACGTTTCGTTGACTTTGCTTTACATTTAAGAACTTTTGAATTATGACCCTTATATTTTTAATCCTTATATGTAATGTCACATATTTAATATTTGGATATCAATTTTGTTTCTTAAAAATAATGCATTATTGTTAACAGGAAGTTAAGGAATTATGGGATGGAGAAGAAGATGTATTAACGGTCAAGAAGGTTGACAAGGATTCATCTATATATGGCGCTGGCCATGTTCATTCTAGTTATTGATCAATATCTTAATATTGATTTGTGAAGTGTTTTTTAATGTTTATTTTTTTTTTCATAACTATATATATATACAAGTATATATATATATATAAGAATGAGCTAGATTTACATAACGCCAAAAGGGAGATTTTTTTTAAGTACGTTCGGATTCCTAAAAACAATCATAGTTATTTTCTATTTTTTTAGGAATTCGAATAGATTTAAATGGGCAAAAATATTTTATATCCACTTTTATATTAGTAAACTATTAAGTATTATTATAATAAATTAAAAATTCATTTAAAGTATCAACTAAGGAACTATTTTAAGCATTTTATATGTGTTTAAAAGTTATGAAAAAAAAAATCATGAACAAAGAATTACACCGCAATCACATTTATCGGGAAAACCCAAGCATCAGTCGTTTTAGTGCGTCTTTTAGTGCGTAGTTAATATTGCGAAATACAATTATTAATTAATTTGTTCTAAATAATCACGCTAATGACGTGATAGCGCGAATGCCTCAATTCGCCAAAACTCTTAGGTTTCTTTACATTTACCAACCGCACGTGACAAAACTGATAATGTAATTTCCCTTCTTAAAAGTAAAGTAAATAAATACACATGATGGCTTTTTAAATTGTCAATAAAGCACACACACATTTTTGCTTTGTATATTTTTACATTTAAAAATGTGTGCATGTTTTGATTCCAAAAATATATTTTTATTAAGTTTATAACGTTATAAAAAATAAGCTTTAAATATAATTCTAATAAGAAAATGCGGTTCAAGTCCATCAGTGCAGCGCAACTCCATAGCTAAATAGCATTCACTAATCCACGTATACCTCATACAAATAAGAACGAACCATATGAAGTGCAAAATATGTTAGTTTTGTATGTATGCCGGTGAAAGATTTTCTAAATTTATTTAAATGTGTGGGGGGGGGGGGTGGTCACTTTGCCCCAGGCAGCACAAAATACGTCTCAAAATAAAGGAATAAATTTAATAATTAATTAACCTTCTTGGGTACATTCATATCGGAAGTAGGAAATAGGATGTGTACATTTATACGTGGATGACAATATATTTAAATCCTATGGTATTACAGTTGTAAAAACAGAGATGTTGCATTCTCTTTTTACAAATATTTGAATGTTCATTTTGCTCAAGGCAGCACAAGAAAAGTCTCAAAATAAAGGAATGAATTTGATTAATAATTAACCTTTTTGGGTACATACATATCGGAGAGGAGTAAAAGGATATGTACATTTTTACATGGATGACAATATATTTAAATCCTATGGTATTAAATTTGTGAAAAAAAGAAATGTTAAATTCTCTTTTTACAAATAAACTTATGTTTACCAATTATGAAAATCAATTGTGTTAACAAATCTTGTGTACATCAATATAAGTATATTCATGAATATCAAAACCCAATCATTTTACACACTTCAGAAAATTAAATTTTGACAAATGAAGATGAGTTAATATTTTTTTTTTTTTTTAATAAAAAAATATTTTTGTTGTTACTATGCAAAAAGGAAGGAGGTGCATATTTTTAATTTTTTTTTTAAAGAAATTCAAATCTAATAAAGACATGAAATACAGTTGCGAGACTCTTCTTTGATAAAGGAATTCTTTGTTTTATGATAGCTTGATAATGTATATTTGTTTTTAAAAAGGCAAGTATGTCTTAAAATTTTTGATGAAGAAATCAATATATATCGAATTCCTGTAATACAAAGTATATTTATGTCATAAATAGTGTTTTTGATGTAAATTTAACATTAGGTTTAAACTCATCCAAATAAGAACAAACCATATGAAATGCAAATTGTTAGCTCGGATATAGAAGGTAAAATTTTATTAATTTTAAAAAAAATCTGTTGGGGTTGGTCAATTTGCCCCAGGCAGCACAAGATACCTCTTAAAATAAGGAATGGATTGGATAAATAATTAACCTTTTTGGAGTAGGAAATAGAATGTGCGCATTTTTAAGTGAATGACAATATATTTAATTCCTATGGTATAACATCTGTTAAGAAAGAGATCTAACGTCTCGTTTTACAAATATGTGCATGTTAAATTTTCCCAGGAAAGCACAAGATACTTCTCAAAATAAACGAATCAATTTTATAATTAATTAACCTTCTTGGGTAGGCCTACATTCCTCTCGGAGGTAGGAAAAAGGATGTGTACATTTTTACGTGGATGACAATATATTTAAATCGTATGGTTTTACATTTGTGAAAAAATGAGATGTTACCTTCTCTATTTAATTTACAAATAAACATAGTTTGACCAATTAAGAAATCAATGGCGTTATTAAAACGATGGTACAGTAATTAAAGTAAACCCATCAATATCAAACCCCAATCATTTGATACACTTGAAAAGGTAATTTAAAAAAAAAATTGAGATTTGTTTTTCTTTTTTTAATGAAAATATATATATATTTTTTTTACTTTGCAAAAAGTAAAGTGGGTGCGAATTTTTGTTTCACAATTCAAAAAGAAAAGACACTCAAGTCTGTTAGATACGTGAGAAACATCCTAACATAACTCCACTGTGTACCTAAGCCATAGTCAAATTTTAATGGCGTTATAGGTCTATATGGTGCTAAGTGTGATGTACGGCGTTATAGGTCTATATGGTGCTAAGTGTGATGTACGGCGTTATAGGTCTATATAGTGCTAAGTGTGATGTACGGTGCTATAGGTCTATATGATGCTAAGTGTGATGTACGGCGTTATAGGTCTATATAGTGCTAAGTGTGATGTACGGTGCTATAGGTCTATATAGTGCTAAGTGTGATGTACGGTGCTATAGGTCTATATGGTGCTAAGTGTGATGTACGGTGCTATAGGTCTATATAGTGCTAAGTGGGATGTACGGTGTTATAGGTCTATATAGTGCTAAGTGTGATGTACGGTGCTATAGGTCTATATAGTGCTAAGTGTGATGTACGGTGTTATAGGTCTATATAGTGCTAAGTGTGATGTACGGCGTTATGGGTCTATATAGTGCCAAGTGTGATGTACGGTGCTATAGGTCTATATAGTGCTAAGTGTGATGTACGGTGCTATAGGTCTATATAGTGCTAAGTGTGATGTACGGTGTTATAGGTCTATATGGTGCTAAGTGTGATGTACGGTGCTATAGGTCTATATGGTGCTAAGTGTGATGTACGGTGTTATAGGTCTATATAGTGCTAAGTGTGATGTACGGTGCTATAGGTCTATATAGTGCTAAGTGTGATGTACGGCGTTATAGGTCTATATGGTGCTAAGTGTGATGTACGGCGTTATGGGTCTATATAGTGCTAAGTGTGATGTACGGTGCTATAGGTCTATATAGTGCTAAGTGTGATGTACGGTGTTATAGGTCTATATAGTGCTAAGTGTGATGTACGGTTATATGGGTCTATATAGTGCTAAGTGTGATGTACGGTGTTATAGGTCTATATAGTGCTAAGTGTGATGTACGGTGCTATAGGTCTATATGGTGCTA